TCTTCGAAACCATCTCCACCAAAGATAACCGATGTTGATAAAATCAAGGAGAAGGCATAAGTGTTGAGTCTACACCAGAAGAGAAGAAAGCTGCAATTAAAGCAGAGATGGAGAAATAGAGGCAAATTCAAAGCATTCTTTGTCAAATAGAAAACGATCCTCCTGGTATGGAAAAAGGAGATCATGCTAAACATTATTGTTATAAGTATATCGAAGCACATGTTGTTACTGAAGAGACATATGATTTCAAAAAAGTCCCAAAGAAGAGTTTTTCCACGGAAAACATAGATTTTAATCGACTGGATATCCCAGTTAACAAGATGATGTTCTTAGTTTCTAAATATCCAATTGCAGATAAGTTTGATAAAAACGAATTTAAAAGGATGAAGTTCCAGTTTCATGCGATGTTGGGATAGAAAGAAGAGGAAATATTGTCTCTGGTCAAAAATTTTCGAGTTCTCAATATCTCCAAGGATGTTTTGTTCGAAGGAGTGTTGCAGGATTATCAGTTTTACATTGTTATAGTGAATAATGTGGCATTCGACTTTTCGGTAGCAGACTTTCCCTTGATGAATTTTCATGACTTTATTTATGTGACCAGAATTGTAAGAGTTCTCAATATCTCCAAGGATGTTTTGTTTGAATGAGTATTGCAGAATTATTGGTTTCATGCTATTAGAGCAAATAATGTGGCATTCGACTTTTCGGTAGCAGACTTTCCCTTGATGAATTTTCAGCTAACAACAAAGAAGATTTTTTAAATGGAAAATAAATCACAGTAAGTTTGGGAGTTGTTTTTGTTGGGAAGAATAAGAAATGAAAGAATACGAAATTCTTTTTTCAGGCTTGTGATGTAGAGAGATATACAACTTCTCATTATACGATTTTAATAGTTTGTATGAATAGTCGTAAGAAGCACGATGACGGAGACAAGGCTGAGATCAAGAAGATTATCAATTTGTATTCTGAGATCCGAAGAGTGATTCATCAAGTAGGCCAGATGATTTTGACTTAGATTCGACACTTCTCACAAAGGGGGAGAATGTAGAGTTCAGAAGTGCTGTGAGGTGTCGAAATGTGTCTTAGTTAGTTTATGTGTCGAAGCATGTTTGTAAGATTTTTTTATTATAAGGGCATTATGTTTCGAAACATAAGTGTTTTTAGTCCCTTATATTTTTTGTATGCTTTCTCGATCCCTATATATATGGGATGAGTACTATAGTTAGAGGGTAACTTCCTCATTCAAATTGCATTCTCTGAAAATTCTCTGTACTTCAGAAAGCTTAAGTTAGCCAAACAAAAGTTATTTAGATCTTGTGTTCATCATTCATTCAATATCATAGTTCTTACTCGATTAAATCACAACTACAAAAAGCCGACGGTCAAACTCAACCTCAATTGACCTCCAGGTTCTGGTAATCCTTTGGCTACGTCGAGGGATCTTCCTGATAAAACAGACTTGATTTCCAATTTTGCCACATTATGGAACCTAGCTCTTCACGTTGTGTAAAAAAGCTAAAAACAACTTATTTACTCAAGCTATTAATCGGTTAAGTGATTAGCTTATACTTTCCAAAAGTCTTCTAGGGTCTTTAAGGTCTCATAAAATTCCAAACTTTATTGTCATGCATGCCCTATGCATGCCCTTCCCCAAACAAGGTTAAAATATGTGAAAGTTGACCTAAAGCTCAATGGACTAAAGCAATCCATAGTTGCAAACTTTATCACTTTCATATATCCAAAAATAAATATGGACCAAAACAATCCAGATAACCTACATCTAAAAGGAAGACATCAACAAAAGAGAGCTTGAGAACTCATAGATGGTACAACAGATTCACACAAGGATGGGGAAGGATTTCTAACTAGATTTGTGAGCCAAACATCTTCATTCTTCCTTCAAAATCTCCAAAATTTGAAAAATGAGCTCCAAAATCTTCAAGGAGGCTAGGCTTTCACTTTGGGAGGTTAGTAGTTGAACAGGATGCCCTAAACTCAAAGTCAAGGGATTTAAATACCAAAGAAACTCTAAACTCGCGGGCTTGGGCAGAAATAGCCACCACGTCGTAACAACCATTTTGTCACATTGTGGGGCTACCCTAAATACGCGATCCTGAAAGTCAGGCCACGTCATGGTCACTCATGCCCGACATCGTGGCATAGAGGCTTTCTCAAAAACCCCCATCCTAGATCCCATTAAGCCTTTAGTTGATCAATTCTGGAAAACAGGTGTTATAGATCTCCCCACTTAAATTAGATTTATCTCCCAAAATATTTCCTTACGTGTTACTCTTTAAAAACTTTTTGAACATATTGAGGGTTCATCCAAGTACATTTACTTCTTAGATGAGCCAGCACCCACCCTTAATGCAGGAATTTT